CTAAGAGTAAGCTCTCCCCTGGAGGGCAGGGTGGAAAAAAAACGACTCCCTAAAGCACTGGGCCTTTTGAGCAAGTCGTAGTACACATGAGGACACCAACCAGGATCCCTGGGGAAGGGCGAGGGAAGCTGGATGCAAGCACCCCCGCCTCACACCATGGAGGCAGACCTGAGCTGCGAACGTGATGTCACTCTCACCTCTGCACCTGCCTCCTGGAGCACATGCAGCCTGGGAACAGCCATCATCACCCTTTCCAACTGCTGGCTGCAGGACCCGGGGGAGATGGTTAGGCAGGGAGGATGAGGCAGGAGTCAAGGCTCCTCCTGGTTTACGTCTAGCCCACTGGGATTTGCATTGTGTATACATGAGTGTGTCTCTAAAACCCGGGAGTACGCCTGTTCCTGTATAAAAAGGCCTGCCATGTGCCAGAAACCGGCTGAGGCCCAGAGCTTGGCACGGCAGACAGAGTTAGCAGTTTGTAAGCTTTGAAGTAAAAGGGTTTTTTCCCTTCTTTTACTAGCAATGAAAAGTTCTTTAAAGGAAAAGCACTAACGTCGGGGAGGAGTGTTTTTCCATGGCGAGCGATGTAATGTCTTTTGGAATAATTCCCTATTTAGAAAGCTAACTGCCTCACAGGGCTGACTGGCACCACGGGCCATGACTTGCGCCTGGAACTACTGCACAGGAGGACCCACCGGTTGTGAATGCGTTCGGCGTACCACCTTCTCGTGTGACACCCAGTCCAGTGCAAACATTGTAAAGCAGTCGTATTTTGGGCATTTGAGAGAAGTGGTTCTCAAACTTTGAAGAGAAGAACTTCCTGGAGACTTATTAAAGCTCAGTGCCTGATGCCCCACCCTGAGGTGCTGATTCAGTATGAGTGTGTAAGAGAGTCTGTTAGTGTGTAAAAGACCGTGTGTGTATATGAGTGCTTATTGGGGGGGGGGGTCTCTCTCTCTCTCTTTTTTAAGGTTTATTTATTTGAAAGGCGGAGTGACACAGAGAGAAAGGGAGATAAAGGAAGAGATCTTCCATCCACTGGTTCACTCCCTAATTGGCTGCAACAGCTGAGGCTAGTCTGGGCCAAAGCCAGGATCCAGGAATTCCAACTGGGTCTCCCATGTGGATGGCAGGAACCTAGGAATTTGGGTCATCATCCACTGCTTTCCAAGGTGCATTAGCAGGGATCTGGATCAGAAGTGGAGCAACTGGGACTTGAACGCGGACTCTGATGTGGGATTTTGGTGTCACAGGCAGCAGCTTAACCCACTGTGCCACCACACTGGTCTTTGGGGGACATGGGCTGGGGGTTTCTCATTATAATCAGCAACCCAGATGATTCAGATGCAGTATTCAATGGCCCGTTCTAAGAAATATCCTATTTAGACCCTTATTTAAGACATTAAAATTCTTTGGCCAAAAGCATTGGGAGTTTAAATTATAGCAATATTTCTGTTAACAAAAGTTCAAAAATCATTCATCCCTCCAGGAACAAGAAGAGCATGTGTGGTTTAGGTTTCTTGCAGCTTATCTTATTGTATCTTCAGCACACTCCCCTGCAGTAATTAGGGCAGGCAATCTCGCTCTGCTTTGGCTGATGGGGAAATCAACGGAGGTTAAGTGATTTGGCAAAGGTTACGGAGCTGGAGCTGGGCTGTGAACCCAGGTCTCCTGACTTCTGAGCGCAGGTCAAGTAGGAAGGCGCACCTCAGATACTGCAAGAGCCAAAAGGCTTTGGAAAGGCAGGAAGAAAACCTAAATGCATTTCCTGATCAAGTTTTAGGTAAAGTTTTCCTCATCCGATTCGAAGCAGCAACTGGGGGGAGCTGAGAGCTAAGGGAACTTTGTCTTTTTCCCCTCTGCACATTTGCTGGGGGCGCCGGTTACAGAGAAGCTGCTGCTCATGGTGATGCTATCAGAGGAAAGAAAAACACACGTCCCCACCCCACCCCCATGGAAAAACATCACCGCCTGTTTTCTGTAGCTGAGGGCTTTGGCACTACCCAGAGCGACACAACCTGAGTTTTAAATTCACAACAGATCTAGCGAGGGCTTAGAAAGCTGCAAAAACAGGGTACCCCCTTAAGATCCTACAAACGCTGCCTATTTCCAGGACAGGAAGTATGCCGGCGACTTCTTTGATTTCAGAAACTACCACTGGGACTTCCTGGCCGGCGTCTGGTGGGAACTCACATTCCAGATCACGCCGGGTCTTCGGGCAGATAAAGCGGCTTTGACAGGGGAGAACAACTCTCCGATTCTACCTCGCTCGCCTTCCCCTGCCCTCCGGGGAAAACTTGCATCGCCCCCGTGAGAAAAACTCCAACAATGGACCAGACAAAGAAATATTGAATCAGATGAGTTTAGGGAACCCTGGCAAAACAATGCACCTTTTCGAGGGCTGAAGATGTGATGAGCACCCAGACATTTTGAGTCAAGTCCACCCACCCCTGGCTCTTGGTGGTGGTGGTGGGGGATGCCGTTTGCTACTAGACACCCACTTCATTCCAGGACTTTGCAGAACTGGGTTCATTCGTAAAAACCTGCTGCTCAGTGAGCTACAAAAAGTGGTTTACCAAAATCATCAGAAACAGTCTTAAAAAGACATTCTTGGGTAAACAAGTCTTTCCCCAGCACACGGCTCACTCCTTAGCATCCATCACCCAATGGGTTGATGTGGCCTAGGTTCATTTTTGGTACAGTCCCAGAGAGCCAGTTACCATCTGCATCCTCTCACTCGGTGCTTAATGGACACCTCGGGTCCCCAGCTGTGCTCTGTGTCAAGCTGTCATTCGCCCCATGGAAACCATCCCCCCAACAGACAGGCTAAATGACATGGCATAAGTAACAATGAAAGGTTGCATCCAAAGGTGAACTGTGATTTAACAGGATCACTTCTTTGTTCTCGGATGGGGCAGCTGACCAAAGTTCTACCTGAAAACACAGACTTGCCTCACTCAGCGACAGGGCCACCTTCTGCGGGCTGGGTTATCACACACTGTCATCCTTGCACAACCATCACAGAATGCATTGTACAAACCAAGACGGCTTTGGTGTCAGTAGACCAGACAGTGTTCTGGGACCACTGTGTGCACATGGGCTTTGGCTGCTGGAAATGTCATTGTCTGGCGCGTGAACCTTTGCACAACCTTGGAACCAGTCGGACAGCACGTTTGCATGCCTCATCGTGGCGTGAGTATGTTGGGAGCTGCATGAGAAGTTTGGTCCCTCTGCAGTTTGAAAGTCAAGCTCTTGCAGGAGCAGGCGGCAGTCAGCCTAATTCATGCACTTTGGAACCCGATTCTCTACAGCAAATGTACACAGAGCAGTTCTGGCAGGATACTCGAGGGGCTTTCACAGGAAAGGGTCTGTCTGCCAATCCCCCTCCTGTCAGCTGTCACTCTCCTGTAATTTAGAAAACTGTGCACAGCCACCAGCCATGGACCCCCGTTCCGCACCATAAACTTCCCCAAATGCAATCAGACAGACCCACCCTGACCCAGAATGCAGAGATTCCACAGCAGGTGTTCTAACCATCCACACTTCAGCCGTCGCTCCTGCGGCTGTGGTCGGAGGTCCTCTCCCTGGTTTGTTTTGTAAGGATGAACCATATTGATTGATGGCAGAACTGAATTCTTTGGCTGCACAAAGTTATCTCTGTTGGGAAATGCTCCTTTTGCTAAATAGCAACCATCTGGGTTAACTCAATGCCCTGTTAATTTCCTCTACTACACAGATTTGGAAAGGAAGGGTCCTCTTTCCTTACAGAAAGCAAAGATGCATTCGAGGACACGCATAGCTGCCCCACAGAACAGGCTGGACCTGCTCGGCACCCGCATGCATGGCCGTCCTGGACACCCGGGCAGGTACTATTCCATGACTCACCAGGCGGCAAGGGGAATGACACCACCACAGGGCTACTCACAGGAAACAGCTGCTGAATATGTACCCGGACTTGGGTAGACCCAGGTGTTTCTGTTTGTTTCTTCCAAGTCAGTCAGGGGTGCCACGCAGAGCCTGTACCTGCAGTATGTGTCCTGGGGCAGGGCACCAACAGAAGCTTCTGACCCACAGTCTGCTTCGCACACAGGCTCTGTCCCCTGCTCCCTGGTGCTAGTGTCGTCCTGCTTGCTAATGTGAGTGATCCACAAATACCCAGCCTCCTCAGTGCAGAAACCTTGCAGATGGTCGCCTGTTGGTCCCGGGTGTGCACACACCAGCCTGGATCTGGGCAGAGGACCCGGACACTGGGCTTCTTGAAGGAGCCTCAGGGAGCCACAAGAAGGGACTAGGTGTGGGAGGGCCGGCTCTGTGCACCAGAGCTTTTCACTTCGGGAAGAGGAACACACCCAGCCAGCCAGGCCCAGCACTCAGGGACCTAAAGCACGGGGATCCACGGGCAGTGTTGGCTGTGGGGTGGGCCTCAGGACTAGGACTTGGACTTGCATGGCTTCATTTACAAACTGAGCAGGGCTAGACTACAGGATTGCCAAGTTCCTTCCTCTGCGATACAGTGGGGCGCCATGATCCAGGTTGTCACAGCTGATGGCTCAGTTTCAAATACCAGACCCGGACCGTACACGAGAAAATAAAACATAAAAACACTCTAATGAGATGACCTGGTTAACAGAGCCGTTAGCTTTGCCTTTTATAGGTGACCAGCTACCCACACATCAGCGTAGAGTCACACACTTAATCACAGGTGGATTAGTAATGACTTAAAACAGCTACAATTTTCCAGGAGCTCCAAACTGTTCGTGTCAATACTGTCTATAACAAACCCGTAATTTATTATGGAAATGGGAACCCGCTGGGTGAGTTGGAAGATCTGTGTTAACAATTTGCACAACAGTTAAAATTTCAATTATCTCCTAATAATTTTAATGGGAGCAGGTGACACCAGCCTTTCCTCTGGATCATGGTTGTGAGAAGACACACAAAGCCTGCTCAACTCACACCTGGAACCACATCAGTATCCTAGGACAGCCAGCAGCACTAACCTGCCCTTTCATGTCGGGAGCAATGGGGATGGTGGGCCAGATGGTTGAGTAGACTCCGAAAAACACCAGCCAGGTCAGCATGCTTCCCCAGACGGCCAGATGACTGAACTGCAAAGGAAAGAGACACTCAGACAGGGACTCTGGCTGCAGGATCCCCAAGTGCAAGCACACTCCAGCTGCTGCAGGATGCCACATGCACTGCCTTTCCTGGCGGAAAGATCCTATGGCTTCCCAGTTACCACTAAGTTTTTATCTTTCTAGCTCTCCTGTTTCAGGATTCCTTCCTTCCTTCCTTCCTTCCTTCCTTCCTTCCTTCCTTCCTTCCTTCCCTTCTTCCCTCCCTCCCTTCCTCCCCTTCTCTCTCTCTCTCTCTCCTTTAAAGATTATTTGTTTATCTGAAAGGCAGACTTGCAGTGAGGCAGAGGCAGAGAGAGAGAGGTCTTCCCTACTGGTTCACTCTCCCAAATGGGCGCAACGGCCAGAGCTAGGCCGATCTGAAGCCAGGAGCTTCTTCACCCTCCCACACGGGTGCAGGAGCCCAAAGACTTGGGCCATCTTCCACTGCTTCCCCAGGCCATAGCAGACAGCTGGATTAGAAGTGGAGCAGCCAGGACTCAAACTGGTGCCCATATGGGATACCGGCACTGTAGGCAGCGACTTTACCTGCTGAGCCACAGCCCTGGCCCTCCTCTCTCTTTTTAGTAATTAAGTCATTTAACAATGAGCTATGACTACTCAGCAATGATTTCACAGACAAGGAAAAAAAAATCTAACGTACCAATTGTTTTCATATGTAGTGAATTTGGCAGGGGTGGGGGGAAATCTATTTTAATTTTTCTTGTTTCTCTACATAAAATGTATTTACCAAATTTAAAAACATATAATGCAGAAAGAACATGTAACAGATATCCACAGCCCTGACCCTAACCCCCACAAATGGCCACAGAAAGTACTTACCAACAATGGAAGTGTGCTACAATATTAATGTATGTTATGTTTATGGTGCAGGATATTTTTATTCATAATGTAGTAAATCTTTGCTTTATCATTGTGATATTATAGCCTCTTTTTTATAATTATGTGCCAGTATTGCATCCTTGTCACCACTGAGCTATTTTTCTCTTGTTAAAATTTGCTAGGTTAAAACAAATATTTTTACAATGCATATGATATCATCATCTTAATTTTATGTCTTTTTTAAAAACAGTGTTATCTTTATGTTTCTCTGTTCCTCAGCTTTTCTTGTTCCTATTGCTAATGTCATGTGCTTAATTACATTAATTTTTTAAAGATTTTTTTATTTATTTGAAAGGCAGTTACACAGAGAGAGGAGAAGCAGAGAGAGAGACAGAGACAGAGAGAGAGGTCTTCCATCCAATGGCTCACTCCCCAATTGGCCACACAACCGGAACTGCGCCCCTCCAAAGCCAGGAGCCAGGAGCCAGGAGTCAGAAGCTTCTTCTGGGTCTCCCATGTGGATTCAGGGGCCTAAGGGCCTGGGCCATCTTCCACTGCTTTCCCAGGCCACAGCAGAGAGCTGGATTGGAAGTGAAGCAGCCGGGTCTTGAACTGGGGCCCATATGGGACGCCGACACTTCAGGCCAGGGCATTAACCCACTGCGCCACAGCGCCGGCCCCTCTAATGATTTTTGTAAACCACTTTTCATGGTTAACTAGCAGCAGGTTTTTGGCAAATGAACCCAGTTCTTCAAAGTCCCCTATATTACTTTTAAATTTTAAAAAATTTAATTGTCACACAGTTTTGTTTGTTTTCTAATTTTTATTCATTCATTTTCAGTTCACTTGACAGGTAAAGAAAGAGAAAGAGAGAGAAGGAGAGAGAAAGAGAGAGAGAGAGAGAAATTGATTTTCCATCTGCTGGCTCATTTCCCAAATGGCCCCAATAAGTGCGGTTGGACCAGGTAGAAGCCAAGAACCAAGAACCCAAGCTGGACCTCCCATGGGCGGCAACTACTTGAATTACTTGAATCATCACCTCCTGCCTCCCAGGATGCCCATCAACAGGAAGCTGGATTGGAGGCAGACACAAACCAGGAACTCTACAATGGAATGCAGGCATTCCAAGTGGTGTCTTCACTGCTGAATCCAACGCTTACTCCTTCTCAGAGTTTGTAACAACGAACTCAAGTCACTACTGGCCCCAAACTACCCCAAAGATGAGGGTGCTTTTGCCATCACAGCTAAGCTTCCTCCAAGGCCCAACCCCAAGAGAGAGCAGCACCTCTCAGCGCATCACAAGTGTTTGCTCCAACTTGGAGCTGTGTGAGACGAGCACCCATCAATCTAGCACGAGGGCAGCAGAATAGACACGATGAACACAGTGTTTTTCTTTCTATTTTAAATCAACATATAGGCCGGCACCGCGGCTCACTAGGCTAATCCCCCGCCTTGCGGCACTGGCACTCCGGGTTCTAGTCCCAGTCGGGGCGCCGGATTCTGTCCCGGTTGCCCCTCTTCCAGGCCAGCTCTTTGCTGTGGCCAGGGAGTGCAGTGGAGGATGGCCCAAGTGCTTGGGCCCTGCACCCCATGGGAGACCAGGATAAGTACCTGGCTCCTGCCATCGGATCAGTGCGGTGCGCCGGCCACAGCGGCCATTGGAGGGTGAACCAATGGCAAAGGAAGACCTTTCTCTCTGTCTCTCTCTCTCACTGTCCACTCTGCCTGTCAAAAAATAAAAAAATAAAAAATAGAAATAAAAATCAACATATAATGATTATTCAGATTTATGGGGGTGCAGTGTAACATTTCAATATCCATATACAATGCATAATGAGCAGATCAGGGTAACTGGCTGATCTATCACCCCTGACACTTATCATTTCTTTGTGTTGCAAGCATTCAAAATCCTCTTTACCAGCTATTTTGAAATATTCCATTGGAGGCCAGCGTTGTGGCACAGTGGGTTAGGCCTAGGAAAGCTGCAGAAGATGGCCCAAGTATGTGGGCCCCACCCACGCAGGTGACCTGGATGGAGTGCCTGGCCCCAGCCAACGTGGCCACTTTGGCAGTGAACCAGGGGATGGAAGATCTCTCTCCTGTCTTTCCTTAACTCTGCCTTTCAAATAAATACATCAGTTCTTAAAAAAATAAATATTCCATTAATGTTTGAAACATTCCATTAGTTTCTGTTAGCCCACTGTGCTACAGAACATTAGAAGTTATTCCTCTTATTCATCTGTACTCCTGTACCCATTGACCATCTTTCTCCATCCTCCACTCCACCCCTTCTGGTTCTGGTAACCACTATTCTACTCCCTGATGCTCCTTTAGACATCTACTGAGTTGTTAATCTCCCTTATCCTCTTAAGCCGATGATCCTTGACTTCTTCCTTCCTTCCACACCCCACAATTCAATCCATCACTGAGTCCTGGTAGCTTTCTGGAATACAAACACCCAGAATCCTGTTACTTCTCACCATCTACTGCTCTGGCATTCCAAGCTAAGTCACTGTCACCTCTCACATGGAAAAACTGCCATGGTGTCTCACCCTGACCTCCTGCCCCACTGCCCATCTTCTCAGTAGAGTATCAGTGAGTCTACTTAAGCAGGAACTGGGCCATGACACTCAGGAGAGGCAAACATGCAGTGTTGGTTATAATCTGTGACATGTGAAATAACCAAAATACCTAAAATGGTGGACTGATCAAACAAACGAGGGACATCCATAAAATACAATATTCTGCAATCATGAACAACGATCTTGTAGAAGCATATTTTATTTTAAAGGCATGGAAAATGCTCCTGATACTCCTGATATAATTTTAGGAAAAAAAGAGTCTAAAACCATATGTTGTATATAACAATGATGCTGCAGAAGTGTATTTTACAAACATGGGAAATATTCCTGATATATTTTTAGGAACAAACAATTCAAAGCTGTATATTGTATACTGAGTCAGCTTCTTAAAAAGATGAATGTGTGTGCACACAGAACAGAGTACAAAAGGCCATGAAGCCAAGTGCTAACAGTGATTACCTCTTGGATATAAAATTATGAAAATATTTTTTACCCTTCCATGTGTATGTGTGTGTATTCATGAAGCATTCTCCAAAAACCTCATAAAAATGTATAATGTGGCTATGGGGCTTTGGCATAGCGGGTAAAGCAGTCGCCTGCAATGATGACATCCCATATGGGTGTCTGTTTGTGTCCTGACTGCTTCATTTCCAATCCAGCTCCCTGCTAATATGCCTGGGAAAGCAGCTGAGGATGGCCCAAGTGCTTGGGCCCCTGCACCCACGTGAGAGACTTGAAAGAAACTCCTGGCTCCTGGCTTTTGCCTTGCCAAGTCCTGAATTTTGTGGCCATTTGGGGAGTGAACCAATGGATGGAAGATCTTCTCTGTGTAACTAACTTTTAAATAATCTTTTTTTTAAAGAGTAATGTAAAAACTATGTGAATTGCAATTTTTGTACTAAAACAAACATCTTGGAATTCCATTTTTCTATGGAATATTTTAAATGCTCTCATGATATAAAATTCATTTTTAGAAAAGATTTACTTATTATTTAATCATTTGAAAAGGCAGAGAAGGAAAAGAGGGAGAGGAAGAGAGACAGAGAGGGAGACGGGAGAGAGAGAGAGAGAGAGACTTTCCATTCACTGGTTACTCCCCAAATTCCCAAAACTGCTGGGCCTAGACCAAGCTAAAGCCAGAAGCCCAGAACTTCATCTGGAATTCAAGTACTTGGGCCATCACCTGCTGCCTCTCAGGTACACTAGCAGGAAGCTGCATTAGAAGCATAGCATAGCTGGGACTTGAACCAGGCACTCTGATACAGGGTATCCTAAGCAGAAGCTTAACCCAGTGTGCCATACCACCATCCCTGCATATGTAATTAAAATCTGCATATACACTTAAATAAGGTGACTATTAATGACTTAGAGCTCTATTAGGTTCTGGGCATATGAATAACCAGGAAATGGGATTGCAAATGTGCCTTGACAGAGATCAAGTCACAATTTTCACATGCAAAATTTAAAATAAGATAGCTAGATAATGCTTACTGCTTTCCCAAGGTTTAAAACAGAAATCGTATCATTATAAGTACATGCACTGGGCCGGCGCCGTGGCTCACTAGGCTAATCTTCCGCCTGCGGCACCAGCACACCGGGTTCTAGTCCCGGTCAGGACACCAGATTCTGTCCCGGTTGCCCCTCTTCCAGTCCAGCTCTCTGCTGTGGCCCAGGAATGCAGTGGAAGGTGGCCCAAGTGCTTGGGCCCTGCACCCGCATGCGAGACCAGGAGGAAGCACCTGGCTCCTGGCTTCTGATCAGCACAGCGCGCTGGCCACAACACGCTGCCGTAGTGGCCACTTGGGGGGTGAACCAATGGAAAAAGGAAGACCTTTCTCTCTGTCTCTCTCTTTGTCTAACTCTGCCTTTCAAAAAAAAAAAAAAAAAAAAAACATGCACTGGGGACCAGCGCTGTGGCTCACTTGGTTAATCCTCCGCCTGCAGCACCGCCATCCCACACAGGCTCTGGGTTCTAGTCCCGGTTGCTCCTCTTCCAGTCCAGCTCTCTGCTGTGCCCTGGGAAGGCAGTTTAGGATGGCCCAGGTCCTTGGGCCCTGCACCCGCATGGGACACCAGGAGGGGGTGCCTGGCTCCTGGCTTCGGATCAGCGCGGTGTGCTGGCCTGGCGGCCATTTGGGGGGTGAATCAATGGAAGGAAGACCTTTTCTCTCTGTCTCTCTCTTTGTCTAACTCTGCCTTTCAAAAAAAAAAAAAAAAAAAAGTATACATGCACTGGACAGAGAACCCCATTCCAGAGTAAACTTACTTTAGTCCAAGCTGTAGTCTCCAAACCAGCTTTCAGACAGACGGTAACAACCACATACTGTGGAAACAAAGAGGAGTTTGGGAAATGGATTATTCTCGGTGAGTTATTTTCCCTTCCCATGAGAAATCCCACATCTCTGTTCCAGAACCAGTTCATCCAAAGATGTCACAATGCACAGTACCCTCGCAGAGGCTAACTCTCCCGCGGTCAGTTTTAGGGGGCAGATGGGCAGATACCCTTCCAACACAGCCCTCATTCTAGTGACCGTCTTCTCCCAAATAATGTTATTGTCCTTTTCTTTGGTTGCATGGGTTGGCAGAAATCATCTTCCAAAGTGTTATTTTCTCTAATGGGGGGGTGTATGAATGATCATTTGAAGAATGAGGAAACCCACCCGTCAAAGCATTTCCTGAGCTTCAAGGAATCTAAGAACTATACAGAGCTTAAATGATTACAGTGAGGAAAGCCTTGTACATAGGGTGTGGGCAGGTATAACACCCAATAAACGGAAGCACTTACCGTGTAAACAATGTTTCCAACAAACAAATAGTCGGTGGCATGTCCACTGGTCAATGGAGTATCTGAAAAACAGAGAAGCTGCTGCTAACTTCCAGAAGGCTGAGCATGGCCATCTATTTTATTTAGAACATAAAACTGGAACTTGAAAAATACCTATCGAAACATAAAGCATTACAGAATTGCATCTTGTGTGATTCTAATGCTTCTTTCTCTAACTGCACTTCTTTCATCATATTCTCTTTAGAGGAAACAAACAAAACCAGGTTTTCAACAAAACAGCTGAACATTTGATATGCACTGAAATTCATATTTTTATAAAGATTAAAATGTCTCTTTGTCTAGCTTAAAAAAAAATGGAACCCTTTATTTATAAAATTAATTTATCTTTATTAAGGGCCAGTACTGAACTTTTTCAAGTGTTCATTTCCTATTCATCTTGAATTTTGGTTAAACTAGAGTTAAGGATCAATAAAAGAAGAATAAAAATCAAGTTCCACTGACTGCACTCTAGTTGGGGGGATAGCCACTGCTCCTCGTTTGCAACAATGTTGACTTCTGGGGTTTAACATTAGGAGGAAGCAAGGAAGCCAGTGAGTGATGTTGAGGAAATGCAGCTAGGATTTCGAGGGTGCAGTTTTCAAGCCTCTTCCTTTTCCTCTTTTCAAGGACGACTACTACAATGTGTGCACCAAACCCCTGCGGCAGAACTCGAACAGAATCACCTGAGCTACGTCAGCCCTGCTCTGAGAAGTGCGCGGCTGGTTCTGAGAAGGTCAAGACCTAAGCTTTCCTCGGATGACACTGCCAACTGCCTTTTACTCTCTTGCACACCCACATCTAGATCTGGGGCCCGCGAACTGTGTCTATGGGGATTTTACGTTCAAATTTGCAACCCTGTGGCTGCTATCCAGACATATGGGGCTCACTGGTTTATGCATCTGTGTGTTGAAGAATCCCGCTCTGAATAGAGAATCAAGATCTGTTGGTTTTCCTCAAATAGCAAAATGACCAAGTGGAATCATGGGAGGAATCTGGTCATTGTAGGCCCCTGGGTCCAGCTCGAGGGCACATATTTTTTGCTTTTTATTCTAGAAAGGTAAATCTGTGGAGAAGCGGAGAACAATGTGCACAGTGACATCAGAGCTGCATTGACAACAGCCCTAAACTGGGAGATTGCTCCTAGGGAACATAGGAGTCCCCCTGGAGAACAGACATGGGGCCACTGAATTAAAACTGGCTCTCTGCTGTGGCCAGGGAGTGCAGTGGAGGATGGCCCAAGTCCTTGGGCCCTGCACCCCATGGGAGACCAGGATAAGTACCTGGCTCCTGCCATCGGATCAGCGCGGTGCGCCGGCTGCAGCGCGCCAGCCGCAGCAGCCATTGGAGGGTGAACCAACGGCAAAGGAAGACCTTTCTCTCTGTCTCTCTCTCTCACTGTCCACTCTGCCTGTCAAAAATTAAAAAAAAAAAAACAAACAACTGGACAGTATCAAAGCTTAGAGGAGGGATGGTCAAGACAGATGGAGACTTAAGCAAGACTTCATTAGAAGGGCAGGGAAGGGAAGGGGAAAATGAAGAGTAACATTAGAGAAGCTAAATCAACGTCAGGAAAGCAACAAATTTGATGTACTGGCAAAGAGCTATTCAATATGGTGGGGCTTGCTTGTCAGTAGTGGGTCCTAAGATTGTTTTAATGGCAAATACAATGCATTTAAAGGCACACCACCATAAAGAAACACATTCTCTGATTCTGACATAGATTATAGCCCTGAAAAACATAACATTATTCAATTATGTACTCAATAAATATTTTCTTAACGTCTACTGGACCAGGTATTACAGGAAGTAGATAAAGAATGGCCCTTCCCCAGAAGGGTTGCATTATGGCAAGGGAGACAGAACACAAACACATAAACAAAGAGATATAGGATAAAATGTCAGGTGTAATAGGAGCTATAATGAAATGGAAAGCAGAGTAATAGAACACAGAGTGACAGGGGCTGCTATTTCAGATAGGGAGGTGACATTTGAGCAAATCTGAATGGTATGTGGGAGCCAGCTAAATGAACAGCCAGAGGGAGAGTGCTCCAGGCAGGGAGAGGAGAAGCTGCCAAGAGTCTGAACACACACAGCCTTAGATGAGCTCAAAGACCATCAGGGAGACCAGGCTGGCTGCAGACACGGCGAAAAGCAAGAAGAGAATGCTGAGACATTCAGAGGGGCAAACACAAGCCCCAGAGAAGACTCTGGATTTGTTGACTGTGATCAGTGACCTCAGCAGAATTCTGAGCTGGAAGTGAAACGGTTTGAGTTACCCTCTTAAATAAATAGTTCAATTTTTATAGGAGAATAGACCTTGGGTGACTGAGAATGGAATAATAATAAACGTAGCTATGGTAGCAATCCTTTCCTGAGGGTGATATTGGTGGTACTAGAGTTGGGCATCTAATGTGGTAACTCCTGGCTGCATGTAGCTATTAACATTTAAATGCATTAAAATAAACTGCAATAAAAAATTTAGTTCCAGTTAGGGACTAGGGAGCAGGGGAAGGTGAGGAGTGACTGCTTCATGGGTACAGATTTTCTGTTTTGGCTGATGAAAAAATTTTGGAAATGGCAGTGATGTTTGTACAGCATTCTGGATGTAAATAATGCCTCTGAACTATACACTTAAAATTATTACAATGTTGAAGTCTGTTATATTTAAATACACATATATAACCATGATACATTTATATACATATACATACATATGTATATAAAACACAATGATAAAAATGTAGTAAAAACTGGATCATAGGGTCCAAACTGTAAAAGTCTCAGATAAAGCACATTTTTATGGCCTCAGATTTGGCAATGAGTTCTTAGATATGACACCAAAATACAGGGACAAAAGTAAAAAGTCCAACTTGACTTTTTTAAAATGAGAACTTTTGTGCTTCAAAGGACATCATCAAAAGAGTGAAAAGACAAGCTGAAGGAAGGAGAAAATATTCACAAATTATATGCCTGATAAGGAATTTATATCCAGATAAAGAACTTTTACAGTCCCCAAATAAAAAGACAAAAAAGAACCAAATTTAGAATGAGAAAATAAGCTAAATAGACATTTTTGCAAAGAATGTAAGCCAGTGGCCAATAAATGCATGAAGTTCAGCATCATTAGCCATCAGGAAACACAAAACCAAAACCACAATGAGATTTCACTTAACACCCACTAGGATAGCTATAAAACCAAACCAAACCAAACAACGGCAAAAGCTGGCCAGGATATGGAGAAATTAGATCCCTCACCCACTGCTGATGGCAAAAAGAAAGGGCGTACACGGGAAAACTGAAGGGTTGTTCCTCAACAGGTTACACACAGTCACCACATGACCTAGCAATGCCACTCACTCCTACATACCAAGAACAGTGAAGACCCAGGAATGAAACACACACAGAAAAACCAATACGTGAATGTTCACAGCAGCATCACAACAATTATTCATAGTATCCTGAAATAATGAATTCATCAAAGCCTATTCATAACTCAAATGCCCATGAACTGGTGAATGGATAAATAAAATGTGGCATATACACATGCATGGACCTCAAAAATTCCTGCTGCTGGTTACCTCAAACGGTAGAGTTAGAAACATACCAGGGGATTCCAATTCAATCCCATCAAGGTGGCATGTACCAATGCCATCTCACTAGTCCCAGTGATCAATTTCTGTTCACAATTGATCATAATGATAGGACTAAGAACCAAAGGGATCACATAAACAAGAATAGTGTCTGCAAATACTAGCTGATAGAATCAAAAAGGGAGAGAACGATCCTACATGGGAAGTGAGATACACAACAGACTCATAGAATGGCAGAGGTCCTAAACAGCACTCTGGCCTCAGAATCAGCCCTTAAGGCATGCAGATCCGGCTGAAAAGCCCATGAGAGTATTTCAGGCATGGAAAGCCAAGACACTCTGGGGAAAAAAAAAATAACCTAAATGAAAGATCTCTGTGAGTGAGATCCCAGTGGAAAGAACGGGTCATCAAAGAAGGAGGTACCTTTCTCTGAAGGGAGGAGAGAACTTCCACTTTGACCATGGCCTTGTCTAAATATGATCAGAGTCGGTGAACTCAGGGGGCTTCCATAGCCTTGGCAGCTCATGACAAGAGCCTAGGGTGATTACTGATGCCATAAACAAGAGTGTCAATTTGTTAAGTCAACAACAGGAGTCACTGTGCATTTACTCCTCATGTAGGATCTCTGTCCTTAGTGTGCTGTACATTGAGATTTAATGCTATAAC